CTGGGCAACAACAGTGAAACTCCACCTCAAAAAACAAAATAGAGAAGGTGTCACTCTGTGGCTTATGTCTGAAGTACAATGGCATAATTCAGAGTTTACAGCAGCCTCAAGCTCCTGTGCTCAAGTGATCCCCACTTTAGCCTCCCAAAGAGCTAGAATGATAGGTCGGGGTTACCACATGTGACCAGTATTTATTTCTCTCTCTCTCCCTGTCTCTCTCTCTCTCTCTGTTTCTTTCTTTCTTCTTTCTTTCTTTCTATCTTTCTTTCTTTCTTTTCTTTTCTTTCTTTTCTTTCTCTCTTTCTTTCTTTCTTTCTTTCCTTCCTTCCTTCCTTCCTTCCTTCCTTCTTTCTTTCTTTTTCTTTCTTTCTTTCTCATTCTTTCTTTCTTCTTTTTATCTTTCTTTCGAGTCTTACTCTGTCACCCAAGCTGAAGTGCACTGTTGTGATCTCAACTCACTGCCACCTCTGCCTCCTGGGTTCAAGCTATTCTTAACCCTCAGCCTCCTGAGTACCTGGGATTAGAGGCATGTGCCAATACACAGGCTAATTTTGTAATTTTAGTAGAGTTTTCATTTCACCATGTTCGCCAGGCTGGCCTTGAACTCCTCGCTTTGTGATATGCTGTCCTTGGCCTCCGAAAGTGCTGGGATTACATGCATGAGCCACTGCACCAACCCTTGCTTTTTGTTGTTGTTGAGGCGGAGTCTCTGTCACCCATCGTGGAGTATAGTGGAGTGATCTGGACTCACTGCGGCCTTTGTCTGCTGGGTTCAAGTGATTCTTCTGCCTTAGCCTCCTGCGTAACTGGGATTACAGGCACTGCCATCACGCCTGACTAATTTTTATACTTTTAATAGAGACAGGGTTTTACAATGTTGGCCAGCCTGGTCTCCAGCTCCTGACCTCAAATGATCTGCCTGCCTTGGCCTCCAAATGTTTTGGGATAGCAGGTATGAGCCACCATGCCCATCCCAGCTTTTTCTTCTTATTTGTATATTTTTGATATTGTCCATAAACTCAAGACTTCCACAGTGACTTAGGGGATCTTAAAATGTTTGATGAAAAAGTGCAGTAAAATGCAACTATAGAAAAGAAAGTTCAAAAATAACCTTTCATGGGTTTGTGAGAACTGTCTTTGATGAAATAGATCCTTAATTTC